ATCTTTAACATCTCCTGTTTTCCTGACTCCTTGCTGTCAAAATTAAAACATGCTTCAGTCTTTCCCATGTTAAAAAAAAACAACAACAACAAAAAAAGTGTCTTGACCCCTTCTCATTCAGCTGCTAAGTATCTCCCTCTTCCTTTTAACAACGAACCGTGCCGCCTCCATTTCACTGCCATCCACACATTCCTCGAGTCACTCAGTCTGGCTTCTGCACCCGCAAACCTGCACTGTACCTGTCCTCGCCCAGGTCAGAGGCATTCTTGTTACGACACCCAGTGGACACTCTCCAGTCCCTTCCTCACTTGAATTCTTGGCAGTATTTGGCATTATTCATCACTCTTTGGAAAACTATTTTCTTGGCTTCTTGGCTCTGTGGCTCCAGGGATTTCCCCCTCCTTATATCACCACTTCCCTCATTCTCCTTAGTGCAATTGTCCCCTACTGCCTGTCCCCTTTTATGTTGGGGTTCCACAGTGTCCTGTCCTGTGCGCCCTTATCTTATTCTACATACCTACCTGGGCAAAGCTATCACTTCCAGGGTCCCCATGACTAGCCAAAGATGCTGATGACCTTCCTAGCTGTTTTTCCACCTATTGGCTTGGCCAAAAATTCCACCTGTTTTTTTCTGTAAAGTAAAAGACACAGTTTTCATTTTCACCAATGACTTTATCCATTTGAATATTTTGAGTACATCAGTTATCTCCCACATGGTATAACGTTGATTATTCTCAACCAATGTCTTGCTTTGATCTCTATCAACTTCAACTGGCCTACCCGACTGTGGAGCACCATCCGGTGAGAAATCTCCAGCACAAAACTTCACAAACCACTTTTGACATTTTTGATCAGTCATGGCACCTTCTCCATACACTGCACAACTCTGTTTTCGCAGGGGTTTTTTGTTTGGTTGGGTTTTGTTTGTTTTGTTTTTTTTTTTTGCATTTTTACCTTTCTTGAAATAATAAAGCATAATATGCCAAAAATGTTGCATATTTTCTTCCATCTTCAGTACTAAAATGTCTACACAAAAATTCACCAATTTTGGTTTTTTTAAATGCATGCTGATATGACAGCTGTCACAATACAATCTAACAAAATCATTTCAAATGAAGTTAAAGACAACTAAGCGCTACTAGAGCCATCTTATGGGAAAAAAAAAACAAACTTTTTAGCCAACCCAATACCTCTCTCCCCAGAGACACCATAGTCCTGAGTCTGATCTTCAGTTTCAGCTTTTAAAGCTCAGGAACTTGGTTTACCAGCACTTTCAGAGTGTTTTTTTTCTCTCAGAAGAGGGAATTATAACTAAGGGATAATTGTCACACAGCAAAGACTCCAAAGATGTTAGGGGCTGTTTTCATTGCATTGATATTATTAGTAGTATTGTTGGCATATTCATCATGAATATTTAAGTAAAAAGTCAATTTTTTTTAATGTGCAAGTGATTTTTAAAAGAATAAAGCTCATTCTGAAAGTGGGATACCAAAAGCAAAATGGCTCCTTACGCCCTCTTGCAGTAATTTACATCAATAGAACAAGGTTCCATTACTCAGGCCTATTTGGGGGGAAAGATCCTATGAAATGGCACGCCCTCAGGATATGTATGGTCCTGAACTTGAACTCAAAGTTAGAATAAAGGTAAAAATCAAAGTCAACTAAATGTAATCCCAAAGGCATTGAACCTTCTTTGCTCATCTTATGTCCTCTTAAGGTGTGTCTCATCTCTGACTTCCCTTATAACCCACTCACTCAAGAAAGTGTGCTGGTTTAATGAGCATTTCTGCAGAGATGGGGGAGGTGATCATCTCACGCTTCAGAAAGGAAAACTTCCCTGTAAAGTCTCTTTCCTCAAAACCTCCTTCTCTCCCCAGTGCTCACTTCTCTGTCTCTTTACCCCTCTTCTCCCCAGCCTCTCTTCCCAGGGCCCCTGGTCTTGCATTCTTGCCCTTGTAAATTTTTAGTAGACAATTTAACATGCATACAACTTTGTTGATAGGGTGCTGCTTTGTTCTGTTTTGCACATAAATATTACTACAGCCATTACTTCACTCTCAGGCTCGGTAAACTCTGCTTCTGAGTGCTCCTCCCATCAAACTCCAGATTTTGAGTAGGTTCTTTTGCTGTAGATATCAACCCCCACCTCCCGCCCCCATCTCTTGAACTAATCTCTCTTTTTGGGTATCATCTCCAGGGAAACAACTACCAGTAGGCAGCTACAGCGATCGCTCTGCTTAACTATGAGTCCCTTAGTGTCTTCTTTCCCACCCTCCTCAGTGCTCGATGATTTGGGAGTTCGGGTTTGTATTTCCTGCCCTGCTGCCGCAGGTGCCTAGAGAAGCATTAAGAGCAGCGTGTACCTGATGATTCTCCCTGCAATACCTGCCTTTGAACCCTGCCCGTCACCATCATTAGCTGCTTGCTCTTAGGTGGATTACTGAGGCGCTCTTTGCAACAATTTTCTAATCTGCAACGTTGGGGAAATAATAGTACCTTCCTCCCAAGGTTACTGTCAAGGTTAAATGAGATAAACCAAACAGAGCACTTACAATGCTTACTGGTTCATATCCAGCCCTCAATGATTATAAGTAATTATCTCTCTCCTACCAAATTCTGCTTCTTCATTACATTTTATTCTTAAAATCACTGCATAAATAACACATACAATTTCTTTTGTCCACAGTACACATATACTCAACATTATTTAATCATAGTACCTAACAAATTGCAAAAGAAAGTATTTCACAACATACCAAAGTCTTTAGATAAAGAAAAACATCTAATAATCTGTGCTTTAAAACGATGCACCTATGCAATGACCTTGAAGCAGCTGGGTTCAGTTCTTGGTAGCAGAACCAGCTGGACCATGGGGTGGAGAGAGTGCAGTCCTTCACAGGGTGCACAGCGCTTTGAAGTGCCTGAGCTCCATGAATCCTCCCAACAACACTGGGAGGTGATGTTGTAACCCCAGCATTGCAGATGTAGAAACTGGGGCCTGTGGAGGTTAGGCAATTTGCTAGAGAGACGTTACTCACACTAGAAGGACAGAGTCGCATTGGAACTCAGATCTTCTGAGCCATTGCCTTCAGATTCGCTACATGACTATGCTAAGCAACAGGCTCATTTCATTGTACCTAGTTTGGTAACTAACACAGGTAATTAGTTCTAATTTCAAGGACAGTTTTGTTAATCATTCAGCAGTTATTAAGCAACCCTTAGTTGTGGCGAATGAGAAAAAGGCTGAATGTATCTTTGCCCTTTAAGATTACATTTAGTTTGTAAAGGAGACGTGGCTGTGAGCAGGAAAAATACTCAGGAACTCTTATAAAACAACATACGATTTCTTATGAATTGTGATCTGCATGTCATTTCACACTTTAAGGTCTCTGGATGCTTTCAAATCAATTGAATGTTATAGTTTACTTGGTAGTGTATGATTTCTTTCTTGGCAGCATATGAAATAACAGTGCCTCTTACAATCAGTGGCATTTTAGAATCTAGAAAATAGAAAATAATTAATATAAATAAATTCAGAAAATATAAAATAATTAAATGGCCATTTATGTTATGGCTATCAACAAATATTTATTTGTCAAAAAGTAAACCTTTTTGCCCTGGCTGGTGTGGCTCAGTGGGTTGAGCATGGTCCTGCAAACCAGCGGGTTGCCGGTTCTATTCCCCAGTCAGGGCACGTGCCTGGATTGCAGGCTGGGTCCTTGTTGGGGGCATGCAAGGGGCAACTGATGTTTCTCTCCCTTTCTTTCTCCCTCCTTTGTCCTTTCTCTAAAAATAAATAAAATCTTTTTTTTAAGTAAACCTTTTATTAATACATAATTAATAATGTTAATATCTATTACCACAAAACTGGAGGTCATCAGTATACCATTATTGATTCCCACTGTCTAGCTCAAGGTTCAATGTCCCCTTTCTCAAAATGCAGGCTCAGCAAGAAGTCCCTCAGCGTTGGTTCAAAGCTACCTGCGCAAGGAATAAACAAAATAGCACAGTGTCAGGCAGAAGGACCACCCAGTGTTCCCAGAGACACAGTGAAAGTTGTACTTTCAGAGAAGTCATATTTCAAGGGGTGAATTGGGGGGGAAGATGTGCTGATGGAGGCGTCGGGGTGGCACAGGGTGAGAAACACGCCAGAGCCAGAGTGCAAATAAAAGCGCGTTGAACATTGACACCACAGTCCCGGATTCAGATCCTAGACAAGCCACATACTGGTTTTTGTCCTTGGGAAAGGACAAAATCGCTTAAATTTTGAGCCTCGAGTTCCTCCCCAGTAAGATATTTGTTTAGTTGTGTGAGGAATAGAGATAATATTTGCAAAACACTTGGCAGGGAGAGCAGGCACTCAATAAATGGTAATAAAATTGTTTAGAATATTTTGAATAGAAGGAGTGGATGTATAAAGCCCTGCTTTGGAAAATTGATGTGGAACTTGTGATTAAAACAGATTGGAGGAAAGAAACTGGTAACTGCGATAGAAAGCTAATTAAGATGCTTTTTCAATTGTCCAGAAGAGAGGTGGGGGTGGGGAAGGCAAACTAGGGGTATCTGTCAGTGGAGAGGCGGCAGTGAGATGTCTCTAGAGGCGGAGCTGCCAGGACTGTGAACCTGGACGACGCAGTACCAGCAGAGGACAGAGCCTGAGCGGAGAGGCCTGGAAAAGCACGGGAGGAATCAACGGCTCCAAGTTTAGCCCTGGCGGTGGACAGAAATGTGGAGCAGGGAGGAGGTTCTCCACCGCCTCTGCCTAAATCCTCTACGGGGGCCAATCAGTTTGCAGGCGCCTCTCGAACGAGTCAGACTTAGTATAGAAGGAGGAGCGGAGAGTGACCAGCCTGGGATCCGAAGACTCAGCGGCTTCCCCAAGGTCCCCGGGGGCAGCGCGGTAGAGGCGGAGCGCCGCTCTTCCCGCCTCTTCACGGCCTAGTGCGCCCCACCCCGGGTCCTCCCAACCGAGCGCAGTTCCGCGGGGCGGAGTCCGAGGTGCCCCCGCCCCCCCCTTTCGTGCCACCAGTGCTTGCTCGCCAGGTGACCCTCAGTCGCCCCCGGTCGCCCTAGGCGCCTCTGCCATCCCGCGTCCGGTGGTCTGTCCGGAGCGCCGCGGCGACACCATGTTGGGCATGATCAGGAACTCGCTGTTCGGCAGCGTAGAGACGTGGCCTTGGCAGGTCCTGAGCAAAGGGGACAAGGTAGGCCCGCAGGGCTGCCGAGGACCCGAAAGGGGCTGCGCCGGCCTCGCACCCTGATCGGGGCTGGAGCGGGTTCTGACGGGCCGATGGGACAGGAATGTGCCCCGGGTTGTGCGTTAAGACTTCTGCTCTGGGCACAGCCCTGCATTGGACTGGGAAGGAGGGAAGACGCCCAATGGAGCGGGCGGAGGGATCTGCTGGGAGGAGGGGACACCAACAGGCCAGGTCGATTGGCGGGGACAATCCCGGGTGGCGAGATGGACAGCGCCTGTTGAATGCTCATTTAAGCGTTCTGAACACTTGTTTTCTGAGAAAACCTCGGTTGCTGAAAGGCCTGAAAAAGTGCAGTCCTTAAAAAACTTCCAACTTCTAGTGAACTGAGTATGAAAGAACGAGATATAGCTATATGTGCAAGGCAGGAGCACAGGGCAAGCAGCAAACCATTCTGCCAGGGGGTGGGGATGAGTCTTCGCAGAGGAAGTATCTTCAGCTGGACCACAGGGATGTGCGGGAGTGCACAGAGCAGAGACCCCAGAGACCCAGTGAAAGGCTGCTGACAATGGAGCTCCCAGCAGTGGGTGTCTGGAATACAGGATGAGAGAGTAGGGTACGACTTCTGTGTTCCCCTGAGATTGACGTCACTGCCAACGCAGGCAAATTGGACTGCCCCCTGGAAACAAGGAGTCTGCCACTAGAGTATAATCTCCTTGCCGACGGGTACTTTGTGCACTTAGTGACTGTTTCGCCACTAAGTGCCTCATTTATTAAAGGGCTGTCTGGGGGCCAAGTTCTGGTACCTAGAACAGTGATCATCGCACAAAAGCCCTCAGCCGGACTCCGCATTTTTCGAGCAGCTATAGCGAGAGGCCTGTCATTTCATCTGTCCGTGTCTCAGCTTCCTAAGCTATAGGACAAGACTTTTAGCCCTGCTCAAGGCTACAGACATTCAAATGCCTACAAGCAGCCAGGCAGCTAATGGAAATGAGTGAATTGGCTGTTTTAGACTAAAGGCAAGGTGGGAACTGCAGCAAATCAAAAAAAGAACTTGGGGCTTCATCGACAGGGCAGCTCCAGGCGGTTGTTGCTATGCAGTGATGTGAACCAGGGTTACCAGATTTTTTTAGGGAAAACCAGCAATCCAGATTCTCATGTGAAATCTCAATTTAAAGTTAACTCATTCAACAGGTAACTCTGTTGAGTGCCAGCTGTGTGCCAGGCACTCTTATAGGCAATGGGGAGAAGACAAAACTGACGTAATTCCTATCTTCATGGAACTTGCCTTTTAGTGGCTAGTGAACAAATAAGTCCTATGTATCAGATGGTGATTGGTGCTGTGAAGAAAGACAAGCAGAGAGGAGGAGGAAGGAATGGAAGTGTTCAGACTGAGGCTGTGGTTTTAAGTAGGGCAGCTATGTCAGTTTTAACTGTTGGCAACTAACAGCAAAAGCCTGAAAACGCTGCAAGCTGAAGGATCTGTCTGTGGTCGGATCCTGCCTGTGCACGTGCCAGTCTGTGGACCTGCCAGTCTGTGGACCCAGCATAGTGATCTCTAGGATCCCTGTAGGCCACAACACTTGAGGAATCCACAGGTTACCAGTGACTCCCAGAGCGCTTTTGTTTCTGTAGTAGAATCTGGCTTCCTTGGTCATTTCCAGTTAACAGACCATGCAAATGCAGGCTGATGGCCTGGGCGGCTCTGCTGCCTGTTTGCCCCCACCCACTTCCTGCTCTGCTCTGTGTGTCTCCAGGTGGAGTCAGGGCTGACCCTCGTGGGCCATTTCCAGGCTCCAGTGTCAGTGGGCTCCCAGCGAGGTTCGCCAAGTGGAAGGCAGTAGTGGGAGATAAGAGGGCTGGAGGAAGGGAGAAGGCAGGGTATCTCTCTCCTTCTTCACCTTGTCATGTTTCTGGCACGAGGAGCTTCTCTGTGGCTCTTACTAGAGAAGCCACCATGGTTCTGGCTCAGATACCAAGTGACCCAGGCAGCTGATCTCAGGTCACAGATAATCTTCCCTCTCACTCTATTAGGGTGCTTACTAACCTCTCAATCACTCTGAACCCTGAAATTCCCCAACTAGAAGAATGGCAAGGCCTATCTGTATAACAATTAATTAAGATTCTTGTAAAGTGTTCAGATACTTGTAAAGCTTTCATATATATGAAAATTCAAGGTGTTCTTATTTTGAAGAGAGCCTCTCCCTGAAATTTTCTTTTACCCTGGAAAGAGTCTGAGTGAGAAACTGTTGTCCACTCTCCTGGACACATGGATGGCACACGCTGTGCCCTGTGTAAGTGGGGTTTGTTGGGCTCGCCAGATGTTCAAGACTGATTCCAGGCACCTAGAGAGGAGCCCCAGGCAGCTGCAGAACTTATCATGTGCCTCCTGCGTTGCTGGGGGAGGGAGGAGGACACATAGTTGCTTCGTTGTGTTGGGTGAGTCTTGTGGGTGCTCAGAGCAGCACTGACAATAATAACTGACCTCTTTATGGGGTTTGTGTCCAGCCTGCGCGCACTGGTTGGGACCCGACTGCCTAGGTTTGAATCCTGGCTCCACCGCTTGCCCAGTTGGAACTTGGGCACATCATTTACTTAGCCTCTTGCGCTCCTTCCTGTTTCATCTGAAAATAAAGATAAAAACACTAACTTCTTTTCACAGGATTGCTGGAGGGATTGAATGAATGAATCTATGTAAAATGTTTAAAATAATACCTAGCACATAGGAAGTACTCAGTAAGGTTGATTATTGTGATTATTGTTATTATCATTTATATTTTATGAAGAGAAAGTTGGCTTTCACAATCAGCATATATACCTACGCAAGTGGCAAGGGGGGAAAAAAACTGACCTTGCAGAGAAGCTTGCAAATCCCATACCAAGAAGCATTATTGTAAGATCGCTCTTTGGGACTTGAACTCGACCAGGGGTCCCACTGGATATTGAAAATTGGTGACCATGAACCAAAACGCATGGTCCTAGTAACTGACTAGGACCATGAACTAGCTGAATATGTGTGGAGAAGGACTGTTATTCTATGGAACAAGGAAAAGTACTTAAAGAAATCAGACTCAAAAAATCAAATGTGTTAACTCTATTAACTTGGTTGCTTTGTTTTCTGCAGAAAGAGAGAACTCAACTCCTTAGAATAGTTTTGCAATATCCATTTCTTAAACCTAAATTTTCTCAGAGATCCCGAGGTTCAAGCGAGACGTCCTAGACATAGAGGCTGTGAAAACAGGTGGTAGCTGCCACAGAACCCCCTGAAAATATGTGACAACCTTTTCTCCAGGATAAAATATAAGTAGATGAGGGTCTCATCTCTCTACCCAGCTATGGCTGTTGCATTTCTTGCCATTAGAGTAGAAACCAGGTTTCACCCCACAGCCTCCTTTCTCACATATAGAGCGCCTACTACACGCAAAACGTAGAGATACAGCTGTAAACAGTGCAGACTATCCTGGACCCCAATGGGGTTTATGGTTGCAAGTGGAGTTTAAAAACATTATCATTCCGTTATAATTGCAACAAGTATTGTGTTGTGAAAGTACAAGGACCTATAAAAAAAGTCATTGGGAGCTTGTTTTTCATTAGGATGCTCTCTGAGGAAGCGACATTTAGGTTGGGGTCTGTTGGGGGATTAGGGGTCCGTGAGGCAGACAGGAGAGGAATACTCCAGGCGGAGGAAGCAGCAGGGACAGAGGCCCTGAGATGGGGCTGGTCTTAGCAATTAAGGAAATAGCAGAAGGCAGCAGAGAGGTAGTGCCGGTGTAGCTGACAAGGTCAGTAGAAGCTGGGTGGTCCCTGAACCATCTGGGATAGGCTAAGAACGTGGTCAGGGAAGGCTTTTAGGCAGGGGATTAATGAACACAATTCAATTTATATAGAATGTTCTGTAAACATTCTATGGGCAACGTCAACCTCATTCACAGCTTTAGTTACCCTTTATGCTGATGAATCCCAAATGTCTATCCCTGTGCCAGTCCCCCGCTGACCCCCCCCGACCTGTGTGTCCAGCTGCACAGAGGGCAGGTCGCTCATCTATAGCAGGAGGCAGGTGAACTGACCGACGTGCAAGGGCCCTTCCGCTCTAGCGTTACCTGCCTTTGGAGATCACAGGAGGGAAGGACCACGCAGCAGGAGGAAGTAGAGCTGAGCTAAGCCTTAAAGATGGTTGGCTTTTCATGGGGGCCTTGGCTTTCTGCACCGAACTGGATTGCTTTCTTGGCAGTCTTTCAGGGGAACAGGCGGAGAGCACAGATCACCTATACTATTCCACAGAACTCAAGACTCAGTCACATTTGCAAAATCCTATATTTGGATCACAAAAAAAAAAAAAAAAAAACAGTTGAACTAATACGGAGTACATGAAACTGACTTGCTGTCAGAGCACTATCATTGGACTAATGGTTACAAGCCCACCTCCATCTGACAGCCTGCAAGTTCTTCAGGATCTGGGCCTTGCCAGAACCTCTGGCCTCCCCTCTTGCCCTGCCCTACTTGACAGTCACTGCTCCAGCCACCACGGACCATTTGCATTCATCACCAGCATCACACTGTTCTCCATCTCTTCTCTCCCACCCCTGCGGTGCCCACTGTCTGGAACTGCCCTCCCTAAACTGTCAGCGCATTGTATAATAATTGTATAATATTGCATGAAACATCATTAAACATTCTATAACAATTTGTGTAATTCTTACCACCCAGCTAGACTGCCTATATCATACTGAGCTCCAAATCTGTAGCACCTGATGCAAGTTTTCAGTAAAGGTTTATTCAGTGAATCCATGCATCACTGACTGAGTGTCCAGTTGGATGATCTGAAGCCCCTTAGAGTCAGCGTAACCTACCCAAACACATACGCACACACCCCTATGCTCCCCAAACTAACCTAAGCAACTCTCTTCTATGGTCTCACACTGCCTTTACACTCCTTGCCCCTTAAACACATCATTATATCATAACCTGTTTCCTGGCTACTTGTATCAGACCATGGCTTTCATGAGGTCCGACATCATCTCTTTCATCTCTGTCTTGTAGCGCCTGGCACAGTGCTACATAGTAGATGTTCCATACTTGTTGGCTGTCAGCACTAGAGTAAAAATTTAAATTTGAGGACTTATTGGGGATGAAAACACCTTGACAATTAGTAAGTAACTTTTCTATTATCTGTCTGATTACATCGTGTTTTCTGAACATGATAACTTTAAAAATTAACATCCTTTGAAATCTCTTTATTCATACAAAGTACACCGCTTTTTTACTTTATCTACAATTAAATATGCCTCCTTAGCAGTTGGAATGAGTCAAATTGTTCTTCACTAGAAGTAGTTTGGAAATGTATTTCATTTGGATATTGCTTCCCCTTGGAACGACTTCCAGTCGCATAGGACTACATTGCAGAATGCAGTCCTATTTAAACCTTTGTGCTCGAAGTTTTCCAGAGATATCCTTGAAGCTCCTTTCATCCATAGATGAAATGCTGTCATGGTGGGTTGCTTCAGTGACCTCCCTTCCATACTGAGAATCATTACGTTCTGTGTAATAAATGGGAATGTTTGAAACTGAAAAAATAAAATCACATTCGGGGGCTTACATTGTGCTTCCAGCTTCATTTTGGTAGCTGTGTGGTCTTAGGCAACTGGATCTCTCCAGTTCTTCGTGGCCTCTTTGGTAAGATTAGTTTGATTGGGTGAACTTTAAAACCTCTTTCACACTGAAATTCTGTGATTCACAGAGTGGTATGTCTGGAATTTAAAACATGATAAGGGGTAAAACTCAGTGGGACTTCCCGTGAAGGCTGACTCTGGTCTCTGCTGTAACAGACAAAGGCAGAAAGAGCAAAATACCTTGAGTTTATGTAACAATTTGCTATGGAAGACGCTGGAAATGGCAGGCTCACCAAAGGGAGGGCCTCACAGCAGGCCACATAATGAGTAGGCGTGAGGCCCCTAATTTGTGGGCCTCTTTGTGGCCTCTTGTGGCCTCTTGTGGCCACATGAAAATCTTCCAGGAAGTCAAGTAAAAAAGGCAAAGAAGTAGAACACAGAAAAAAAAAAAAAATTGTGGCCTCTTGATTCTTGGTCTGGTGTAATTTCACCCACGGGGTGAAAGTGAAGAGCTGTCGAACAGGGTGCTGACGGTGACGGTACAAGTGGCTCATGGTGGCTGGAGGGCTGGCTGCCACGCAGGGCAGGGCAGTTTATGAAACCGGCACTCAGGGTTTGCTTTCAGGTTTCCCTAGCCCCTATCTCACTACTCTCCTTAATTTTTGTATTACAGAAACAATAGGTATTTTTTTACAGTCTAAGTATAAAATTATAATAGTACATGTACCTTAGCTTCTCACACTGCACAGGCCACTCACAGCCCCACGGTCCTGCCCTTCTCCAGGGAGCCATTGTGTCCCCTTGGGAGCTGAGCATCTTCAGCGTAGGGTGTCACAGGAAGGCCTGTTCGACTGGCCTGGGGCCGCCCGTCCTTTATCTTGTCTGTTTTCCACATCATGAGTAAAGGAGGCAGCTCCTCAATCAAGAAACATCTATTGAGGGTCTCACATATAAAGCTCTGTGGTATGGTTCCTACCCACAGAGATTTTACAGCAGACTTTTCCAGTGTTCTGTTACCAGATAGTGAAATCAACGCAGAGCACGTTTTTCTGCTCTTAGTGGAAATAATAAAATTCACTCAAGTAGAGTAGAAGTAAACAGAATAGAAAAATAAAAACAAAAACAAAGGGCAAGTATATCAGAATGCATCCTGTCTATAAGGGTAAAGTATTATTTTGTGAAACTTTGTTTCAATCATGTATATGTTCATGGTAGGACATGATGTAAACATGTATTTCTTGTTCTGGATTGTAATTTTTAAAAAGTTGGAAAACATCGCCTCACAGTATGTTCAGAAATACAAAATTGTATTATTGAGATAGCCGATGGGGGGAGGGGAGGAGATGAAGGAGGGTTGCATGGGTCTGTGTGGGAGGAGCAATGACCCCGGACAGAGACTCCACGCAGAGGACCCAGACGAGGAGAGCGATCGCTGCCAGGGAGGCCGGAATGTGGGGCGGTGGAGCTGAGCCTTCAGGGCGCTGGTGGTAGGACTCAGTGAGGTGTGTTGGGGAGAGGAATCACACCTGGGGGCAGAGTGTGGACAGGACTGCCCTGATTCTTCTAGAATGGCAGCCCTGCTACTGGAACGAGGCTAATCTGGGGCCTTCGAGTTTGATGGGATAGTTGTTGTATTTTTTCGTTTCCTCCTTTCCAATTTTTTCTTTTCTTTTTCTGAATCTCCTGTTATTCAGACATTGGATCTCCTGGGTGGATCCTCTGCTTTTTTTTTTTTTTTTTTCTTTTTTCTACTTCTTTGCCTTTTTTACTTGACTTCCTGGAAGATTTTCTTCAATTTAATTGTCCGACGCTTCTACTGAGTTGTTTGTTTGTTTTTTTTAATTTCTGTTGTATTTTTAATCTCCATGAGCTCTCTGATCTCTGAACATTCCACTTTTATAGCATTCTGGGGACGTTCTGGGTGATTTTAGAGAAAATGTCTTCTTTTCCCTCTCTGAGGAAGTGTTTTCTGCTGGCCCTATATTAGTAAGAAATCCCAGAACCTGTTTACGGCCCTTCATACTCAGGGCTGACTCTTCCACCGTGTGGCCATACCCCAGCCGTTATGGGTAGTTGCTCCTGCAGCCGGATTATCACTGCTCCTAGAGTCACCCCAGGTTGCTTCTGTACATCTCTTAAGCACTGCACATTCTCTTTCTCTAGGGAGAAGTGTCCTACGAGGAAAGGGCCTGTGAAGGCGGGAGGTTTGCCACAGTGGAAGTGACAGATAAGCCAGTGGATGAGGCTCTGCGGGAAGCAATGCCCAAAGTCATGAAGTATGTGGGAGGCACCAATGACAAGGGTGAGTGTTCCCGAAGGACGTGGCCCTGGTCTCAGGGGAGCCTCACGTGGTCTCACTTCATCAGTGGAGAATACAAGGGAGAGGCCACAAGGCACCTGTCGCTACCTGGTTCAGTGACACGTAAACTTGCTGTGCTGCCTGAGCAAGGAAGCTTTGAGAGACCACACTGACTTCAGCCCAGCCCACCCCTCACTCTGTAGTATCCCTGCTTGATATCACTGAGTTTGTGCTTTTCGCTCAGGTACGGTTTTGTTATTGTTGTTGGCGGTGGTGGTAGTGGTGGTTGGTGGTACTTGTTTTGTTTTGTTTTTTTTAACCCTACAGCGCTTGTGTCTTTGGGTTGGTAGCCTGGGCGAAGTGTGCCCATGTGAGCCAAGCCACAGAGACAGGGCCAGCGTCTGACTCCAGGCCACCACCCGCACGCGGGAACTCTCCACAGCCAGCCCACGGGCAGCTCAGACTCTGCAGGGTACTGACTCTGCGGGGTACTGACTCTGCAGGGTACTGAGGGACAGCAAGTGGTGAGTCTCCCTCAGGTCCCTGGCTCTGTCCTGGCAAAGAAACAGTCAGAGCCCTGGCCAGGTGGCTCAGTTGGTTGGAGGGTCATCCCAGTGCTTCAGGGTTGCAGGTTCGATCCCCAGTCAGGGCACATACAGGAATCAACCAAAGATGTATAAATAAGTGGAACAACAAATCAATGTTTCTCACTCTTTCTCTTTCTCTCTTTCTTTCTCTCTCTCCTCCTCTTCCTTTCTCTAAAATAAATTTTTAAAAGAAAAAATAAAGGAAATAGTCCTGATGAGCATTTTAAAAAAAAGACTCAGCAGGCAGGGCTGGCTGCCCCCTTATGACAGGCCTGGAGTGCCGTGTACCAGTTAGCATGTAAATCACATGAATTTAACTGGTAAGCTCTCTAATTTGGACTATACTTTAGAATCACTGCAAACCCAAAATGGGTCAGAAAGCAAGGTGAAAAGGGAGATGTCATGTTAATTTTTGGGATAGTTCTCAAGCTGATAATTTAGAAGGTTAGAAACTGGGGTTAATCTCCGTAGCATTTACTAGGACCCAGTAATCAGGCTTTGGGCGATAAGCTGACCTATGGGAGCTCAAGAAGAAATTTTTTCTTCTTAACACTATCATACCATTTTTTAAAGAAAATATGTATAAAATTATAAAACTCCTTAAAGAAAGTGAACATAACAAAATAGCACCCCTCATCCATCTTTTCTAGCACAACCGCCTTTTGCATGTATTTCTTTAGGGCTCTTTAACAGGCTTTTTAAATGTCATCATAGTGTTTGTGTAATTGTATATCCTGCTTCTATTACTTATTTCATCACTATTTTCTGCTGTTGCAAAATAGCCTTCTTCAGCATAATTATTACTAGCTATAGAATATTGCATCTTGTGCCTATAATTTACTTAGATATATTCCTATTTTGAGACTATTTATATGGCTCCCAGATTCTCATAAATTCTGCTGCAATGAATATCTTATTACCTAAAGCCTTTTCTGTATTTTGGGTATCTCCTTAAAATTGATATTTAGATAGGAAGTGATTAGATACCGATATATTTACCCTCTTGATATATGTTACCAAATAATTTTTTTTTCCAGAGAAGTGGAATCACTTAGCTCTTACTTCCAATATATGCAAATTGGAGGTCTTTTGTGTTTGTCTAACTACATATGTTTATGCCACACGTGTTTATTATTAACTTCCTGAAGAGAAAAGACTGTGGTGGAAGGAGAGTGAGACCAGCCGGCCGCCGCAGGCCTGAGCGAGTTCTGGCTCTCACTCCCGCCTCACTCCGGGTTTTTCCCTGTGCAGGAATCGGGATGGGGATGACCGTGCCCATTTCCTTTGCCGTGTTCCCCAGTGAAGACGGCTCCCTACAGAATAAGATCAAAGTCTGGTTCCGGATTCCAAACCAGTTTCAGAGCGACCCGCCGGTTCCCAGTGATGACAGCGTGAAGATCGAGGACAGGGAGAGCATCACCGTCTACTCCAGGTATGGAGACGATGCCACCGCGCTTCGACGCATGAGAACCGCGGGGAGTTTGGTTCACATCCATCACCCGATGTGGTTTCGAATTATTTTTTTTCAGATGAGAACTCTCTTAGTAACTTTCAAATATACAACACAGTATTGTTCACTGTAGCCACCTTACTGTACATCACATCCCCGGAACTAATTTCTCTGATCGCTGGGAGTTTGTACCTTTTGACCACTTTACCCATTGCTCTCACCCCGCACCTCTGGCAACTACCAGGATGTTCTGTGTGTCAATGAGTTTGTTTGTTTTTTTTTAATTCCACATGTGAGATCAGAGTATTTGCCTTTCTCTGTCTGACTCATTTCAAGGTCCATCCACCTTGTCACAAATGGCAGGATTTTATATATCACCTTTTCTTCATCCATTTATCTGTAGATGGACACTGATGTGTTTTGTCATGTATAATGCACACCCTTTTGCCCCAATTTTTGGGGGAAAAATAAGAGTGTGCATTATACGTACGCATAATGATTACACACCATGGGTATAATATTGGGTATAATAATCCCATGCGCAGAAAAATGTGAGGACACATTATACACAAGAGCTCATTAAACACTGCAAAATATGATAAGTTGTTTCTGGATCTTGGCTATTATAAATAATGTTGCGTTGAACATGGGGATTCAGATCTCTCTTAAGGTAGTAATTTTATTTCCTTGAGATATATACTCAGAGGTGGAATTGCTGGATCATGAGGAAAGTTCTATTTTTAATTTTTTGAGGAGTCTCCATACCGTTTTCCACAGTGGCTGCACCAATTTATATACCGACCAACAGTGGACAACAGTTCCCTTTTCTTCATATCCTCGACAACACTTGTTATTTCTTGTGGTTTTGATAATAGCAGCTGTGGTAGTTTCCTTGCTTTCTGGTATGTTTCAAGCACACCTTGACATTTCTTGCTCTACAGCTAGAATTAGTTGTTTCTCTAAAGAACCCTGGTTCCATATGGTGGGGAAGGGTATTTATTTAAAAGGACTATTAAAGCCAGGTCTGTAGAAATTTCCTTTTAATTCTCTGAAATCTAAACAGATGAACAGAACAAATACAGTGTACAGCCTGGCTCAGTGAATTGTCCTCTTCCCTGGGTCTACAGTCCTATTAGCATACGATCATTCCTCACCTAGCCACTTGGTGTCACTGCACAGTCAAATGTGCATTTAAAGGTACTTCACTGTGGGAGGCAGAGGGAATGAGGCAGTAGAAAGTAAAAGCCCTCTTTCAAATGAGTGCATTAGATGACAAGATTAATTTTAAGACAAAAACCTTGCACCTGAATTCAGCCTTCCTTTTCTCTGGTCTTGTGAAGGATGTCTACAAAGGGATCAGACATTTATTAACAGGATTAATTCATGTGCTTTTAAAATGACTAGAAGGCTATGAAAAAAGTAACACTACCAGAATATTTTTCATTTCCACATGAGGCAGGAGAATCATTTTCACACTTGGGTGAGTGGCCCCGCCCCACGGCACCGCCCTCCCTCTGCTGTCTGTGAAGGCCACTGAGGTCAGAGCGCGGCGCCCTCTGCACCTTTCGCACTGGGTTCTCAGGGAGACCAACGGCAACAGAGGCTCGATGGTTTTAATGGAAGCTCTGTGGTTTTAATGAAATGTCCAGGTATAAAAGAAAGGGTTAAAAACACGGAGTTCATTGTCAGGGAAACCCGGCTATAGTCCCAGCTCTAGTGCTCAATGACTAGGACCCTTAGCTTGTTGTTAAGCCTCTCTGTGCCTCAGTTTCTCACCTGTAAGCTGGGAGTAAGAGCACCAAGCCCATAGGGTTGTTGTGAGGATGGAATGTGATATCTGTAAAGGCCTACAGAGTGCTAGACGTGAGGCGAGTGCTCAGCAAATGTTCTCGATTTCATGATTTCATCTCCCTCTGAGAATTGAAGTTTTCTTAGAATTAACAACAGAAAGGTCAAGTTACTATAAATATACTCATGTTCAAACCTCAACTCCAATAACTGAGTTTTATAACTCCGGGCTTTCTGAGCTTTAGTTTTCTCATCTATAAAATAGAACATACGGTGCATTACTGTGAGGTCCGGGGTCTTGGTCCTTGCCTTCCCTGCTTTTCTCTATTTTTCCTTCTTCCCTAAAGATCTTAGTCCCCTCCCATAGCATCACTTGCCACCCTTTCATCAGTAACTCTGCAGCCTGACTTCTGCCCAGCTCCCTTGACTGTGTTATCATTCATCAGACTCACCGTCATCACACTCACTGTGAAGGCTAAGGTGAGGGCATTCACTCATTCACTCATTCATTAAAAAAAAAAAATCGCATACTTATTTTTCACCTCCTCTGTACCAGGAATTATCTTAGGTCCCAAAAACATAGCAGGGACCCAGCAAAGTGATTGCTCCTTGAAGTGGGAGAAACATTTGAGTGGAGAAAACGCACACACACACACAAATGTCTCAAGGTAATTCAGTGAGTTGTTTCAGAGATAAGAACTGGTATCTGTGGATTGAAAATATAGGAAAGCATATTTATACTCAAAAATAAAAACATTCTGCCACGACCAGTGTGGCTCAGTTAGTTGGGTGTTGTTCCACAAAGCGAAGGGCCACTGGTTCAATTCCCAGTCAGAGCACATACCTGGGTTGCGGGTTTGGTTCGGGTCAGGGTGCATTTGAGAAATAACCAATCAATTTCTCACATTAATGTTTCTCTCCCTCTATTTCTCCCTCCCTTCCCCTCTCTCTAAAAATAAATAAATAAAACCTAAAAAAAAATCATCCTGACATAAGGTGTCTATCGGTAAAATGAACAGATGACAAGTAATGAAGTCCTTGCCCTGGAGAAATTCAAGTACCATCTGGACAGACATATGATAATTATGCTGTGTAATGTTGGTACGAAGTGGGAAGTTTGGCTCAATTTGGCAATTGAGTGCTTCTGATATGTAAGCAACCTTACCTCTCAGAACCCTGCCAATAGTAAGATTCTGCTGTAACACTTAATCATCTAATATCTCAATTAATCACCATTCATTTCCCCCCAATTGCTCAGCTGTCTCACCAGTCTTTTACAAACCATCCTTGGAAGGGGCTTCAGTCACCATTTCTGAGTGGATGAGCCCAAGGCCACGGGGCTAGTGCTGCCTCTTCTCCCAAGCACGGGCCTTATTTGCATCTCCTGCTCACTGGGAGCTATCGCCAAGTAAACCTCCTCCGCTATCTTCTAGATCAGCATGTCTGAGACAGGACTCAACTTTCCTCCCCAAATCGGATCACCTGTTCTCTGTCTTACTGAAGGTCCCCTTCACCCTCCTCCCCTTCCTGTTCAAATGTCATCCTGACTCCTTCACCTTCCACATATAATTATCGGCCTGGTTCTAGTCACCTCCTAGCTGCCCCTTCCCTCCCATCCACACTGCCACAGGTCTTCATCACCTCTTGCCTAAACAGTTGCCATGGCCTCCTGATTATTTCCAGTTCTTCCACCTCTGCCCTTCTAAGGTGTCCTTGGATCACAGCCAGCGCAAAAGCATAGGGCTGATCATACTGCTTCTCCCTGCTGCTCAGCTCTGGTCATGGGCCTTAGCCCACCTCTGACCTACGCACACATTGCCTAGGACAGAAGCCCAAGCGAGTAATAAAATGCTCCTTCCCCATCAGTAGGGGGATGGGTGAACTTTCAGTTGGATCCCCAAATGCTGAACCAGGCGGGGAAGCCTAGTAAAAATGCCTTGACGTGGCATTTACTGCCCTCCGCACATAGCCCACTCCTCTGCCTGATTCCTCAGAACATTTCACCCCACCTCCCAACGGCTCCCCAACACACACACAACATCCGCTTCCATACCTCCACTCACTCAGCTCTTCTCAAATGTTCTCCTCAGTCTCTGCTTATTGCAAGCCCTGGGAGGACAGGAATTTTTGTCATGTGGTTCATTGTTCCATTAAGAAGAGATGCTCATTAAATAGTTGCTTAATATCACATCCTCCATAATGCCTTCCCTTCGTGTTCTAAGTCAGATCATCCCCTATCGCCCACCCCCAGATCATTCTGTTTGTGCCGTATACCTCCATTCTAGAACATTCAGCCCTATATATCGTCTTTATGTCTTTATGTCCCAACTACTACAGTTAGACTTTGCAAGGGCAGAAAGACATCTTTATCATCTTTACAGCTCTGTGGTGTCTTGCTTGTGTTTTGTGCTCAGTGATGCTCAGCTCAGTAAGTTTGGTTCGACCTGATATAGCGAAACGCCTTATGGTGTTAAGCCTCTTTCCCGTTGACATGAGATTGTCAGCTGCTGGTTTTACAGATTCTTCGACCTGGCACAGAGCTGCATGCACAGCAGACTCTCCACAAATCTGTGTTGACATGTTGATTGTTAGTTTCAGACCAAGCTGGATGGTCATGCTCAGGGTTATTCCATTTCTCTTTCTTCCTCACTGCCTGCCTTCATCAGACACTCCCCGAAAGATAACATGTTAGGATTATTTGCGTCCTTGAACCTGCATCATTTCCTCCCCCAACTCCACCTCTAACTCTTCTAGCCCTTTTTAGTCAGCGTCTTCTGTATTTCTGGAATCCAAGACATGTGTTATCTCCTTGGTTCCCATGGCAACCAAAAAAGTCTTTGTTAGGAATGCTGAGCTCTGATGTCGGGTGAGATAAAATACAGCGCCCCCAGGAGAGCTTCTTTGAAGATGGAGACTTGTTAACAGGCTTACAAAAATAATATATAGACTTCATGTTTATTTCCTTTGAGGAGCTCCAGGCACTTTATGAGCAAGCCTTAGCTCATACTTACACATGCTCGTGAATCTGGAGAGCTGTGGGCACTGTGTTGTCACCATCCGAGTACAGCTTGGAGGCTGAGGCAGAAGGGAATGAGGCGGCTTGTCCCAGAATGCAAGCGAAGCAGCCAGAGCTGGGCTTCCTTCATTTGTTAGGATTATGTGCCTGGTAGGGTTTGGCGTCCTTGCTTGTTTATGCCGTCCTGTGACGTGGTTGGATTAGCAAGAAGGAGAACACAAGTATCTGTTCCATAGCCCACCCAGCTTTGCTTATTTCTAGTACAAGGCTCCCAGGATGAAGCAACAGCAAAATTTGTATGCACCAGCATCTTGGTCCACGTGGGGATAAATGTAAACAGTTGGGGTTTTTTTCCCAATAATGAACTTAGAAATCCCTGAATGAAGACATTCTCCGTACCCTCTCTGCCAGTCCCCTTGGACTTCTCAGACAGCTCCTTCTCAGGGCCCTTTGCCCAGTCCTCATCCTCCACTTTGGGACTAGGAGTCCAAAAAGCAGTTTACTGATTCTCTGTTTGCTCACCATCTACGCCTGGTCTCCCTCCTTACCATGATTCTAACCGGCACCTACTCGTGGGCAACTCCCATGTTTCTCTCATCTCTTAACTCATCTATTTCCCAAATCAAGAACTCAGGCTCCAGTTCTTTCCCAGCTCTAAGGAGATTGTCACAGTGCCTACCACACACTAAGGTACCCAGTAATTGTGGCATGACTGTGTTTCACAGAGGCAACTTAAGTATAACAACGTGCCCCAAACCAAATTGTTAACCCTCCCCAACTCTTCAGCCTAGAACCCCTGCTCTAACTAGTGGCATCAGTTCATCCAGAGGCTTAGCTGGAAGCCCCAGAGAGTCCCCAACTCCCCTCTTCCCAGCCTGCCCTCGGCATCCAGGCACCTCTCAAATTTGCCTTTGTCCAGGCCTTCGCCATCTCACACTGGGCTGTCCCTGGCCTCCAGGGACTCCATTCCTCCTGCCCCTCCACTGCCACCGTAGGGACCTCTCCAAAATACAATCTGATCATATTGGTCTCTTACTTTAAAACACCTTCATAAGTCTACCTTTGCATCTGGGGTCAGGTTCAAAGTCCCTTCGCAAGGTACCTCCAGTCAGTCCACTATTCCTATTTGAATTCCCACTACTGTCCCCTTAGTATGTATTTCAGGTGTTTTTATACACGTGCATGAACGTGGAGGCAAACAGACTTAAGCACTATCATCTTTAGGTCTATCAACTTGAAGAGAGTAACTTCTGTTGTTTATCCCAGAATCGTTCATTTAGCCAAGGAGTCTAATGTGTGTCAGGCACTGTGTTAGGTGCTCAGGATATACCAGTGGGCAAAAAGTGACAAAGATCCTTGCTTTCGTGGAGAAAAAGTAGATCAAAGGAAGGAGAAAGGGAAGGGGAGAGGGTTACAGGGGTGTCCAACGTGCAGCCTGCAGGCTGCATGCAGCCCGGGATGGCTATGAATGTGGCTCAACACAAAATCTTAAATTTACTTAAAACATTATGAGATTTTTGTGTGATTACATATCACAGCGTATTTAAAGTGTGGTCCAAGACAACTCTTCTTCCAGTGTGGCCCAGAGACGCCAAAAGGTTGGACACCCCTAAATAAGATTAAACTGAGTTTGAGATTAGACCTAATTGAGAAGGTGAGATTGCTAATTGAACCACTCTTTTAGTAGTAGGCTCTCTTCCGGTGTTCATGATACTCTTTTAGATCACCATCATATCCCTCATATCCTGAGTCAGGGAATTGAAGGGCTGTTCTCAGCAAATTGTAAAGTAACAATAATAGCTACAATTTCTTGTGAGCTTACAATGTGTAAAACACTGGACTGAGCAGTTTGCACAGTCTTTTCTCTTTAATCTTCACAACAGCCTTCTGAGACAGATGCTCTCCTCCCTATTTAACAGATGAGAAACAGATTAGAGAAATTAAAGCATTTGCCCAAACCCATGAGCTAGAAAGTGGCAGAGGTAGGAATTGAGCACACAACTAGCCATTTTTGCCCCCAACTGATGCATGGAGAGAGTTGCAAACCACTCCATTGGATATTTCCAAAAACCAGTAGCTTAAAGAGCCAACATCAGCCATTTTCACAAGAGAACAAGTTAGTGTCGCGGCAGGAGAGAGCCTACGGAGAGCACTCGACACCTGTACCTTCATCCAGCATCTGATTATTTTCAGACAGGTAGTTCTCAATCTGTAGACATTCTTTGATAATAATTCCAGTGTCTGGCAGGCTTTTATTGCCAGAAAAATACTTCCTTAATGTTCATCCTCTGTCTTCTAATCCAGTTTCCTCTCATTTGAGCCTCAGTGAAGCTAGAGCTCAACTTTCTTCATCTGCCTTATAATTGTTCTTCGATATAGTTGAAGAGCCAAGCCTCCTCTATTCCAAATTGGTCTCAGCTCTGTCCCTGTTCTGTAACTGTTGTCTAGACATTATAATAACCAATCTCTTAAAGATGAAATCCTAGGTGTTTTCACGTCAATAACCCTGTAATCAACGTGCTGAGTGCTTGCTGAGCATGACTAACCACTTATAAAAGAGCAAAGCATGAGTCAGAGAACCCCACCAAAAATAATGCATTTGGCCTAATCTTCGCCTGATGCAGATTCAGACTTTTGAGTCATAAAGCTCGTTAGAAATGGGAATGTATTTGACTCTAATAAATATTTTAGGGCAACACAGATTTAGAGTGGTATATTTAGGGGAGGCCACAGGACGAATTTTGGAGCGTAGGCTGATGACGTAAGGAGAGAATAATAATCTTGAAAAGAGTGGCTTTATTGCTTTCCTGTTTCCACCTTCTGTCATCACGAGAAAAGCCTGGTTTTAAAAAAGTCTCTTTACTAGAAAAAGAAGACTTTCATGATTTGATCGGGGAAGGATTTATTAGAAGTAATTATTTATTTGGGGCATGCCTAAAGCTCGCCTAGGAGCCCTCCCAAAGCTTCCTCAGGTCCCTGCCTTTGGTAGCTCTGTTTTTGAACAAAGCTGCTACTTCTCACTGCAGCAACGTGCTCACTGGAAAACTGCTCTGTAGGGGGAGGAACATCCCCTGCAGCTGCACCCCAACTCCCCTTTTTCCTGCCTCCTCACCCAGCTGGAGAGCGAGGCAGAGCAGAGGAGCAGCTGGGGCAGTAGAGGGAGCTAGAGAAAAGGGGGAAGTTCAGCCGACATCTCTGCGAAAAATCAGAGGAAAAAGGCAGCTCACATTTAGTATGGAACTGTTGTATTTCAGGCTCTGCCTCAGAGGTTTTCACAACCATGCTTCTTAATTGCACTTAATGCTCATAACAACCTTGGAGGAAAAAGAAAACACATCCCAATTTTACAAATGAGGGTCTGCAACTCAGAGAGGTCAGACCTACCCATCTAAGAAGTGGCAGATTCACAATCTTACCACAATGGCATGATTGTCATAATAAGCATGGCGAGGGACCCCCACCCCCACCCCGCCGCCCCGTCTCAGAGACCCATGTCCTTTCTTGACCAGCCCCTTGCTCTTGTATCCTCAGGCAGTTTGGGGGTTATGCCAAGGAAGCCGACTACATAGCCCAAGCCGCCCAGCTGCGCACCGCCTTGGAGGGCACAGCCACCTACCGGAGTGACATCTACTTCTGCACCGGGTATGACCCTCCCATGAAGCCCTATGGACGTCGCAACGAGGTCTGGCTGGTGAAGACGTGAGCCAGCACCTGGGGAGGTGTGCTTGTTGCCTCTCACTGGGCGAGCAGGAGGGGCTTCAAACTGCAACTTCAGCTCAGCCAGCATTCCTTCCAAGCCAGTTACTGCCAGTTTTCTGAGATAAGCCTCTTCAGTATACTGGGGTTCTTTTTCTCATGGTGGGAAATACAGCTGAGATAGGCTGCATCCCTCTAATTGATCTAGAACGTTCTGTGGTAGACCAGGAAACCCTCAGCAGCATTTGTGCAGCTACCTGGGCCTCAGAAACCTTGATACTTTAAAATTATTGAATCTGCATTTTTTGTAATTGAGGGGAAAATGTAATTTGTGTGTGATCTTTTATCTGTGATTCTTAGAAGAGCTTTGTCTAAAAAGAAACTGAAAATAAAGTTCTTTGACTTAAACAGCTGAGGCAAATCCTAAGTATAATTATTTCAAGACTCTGCCATCTTTGGATGCCAGAGGGGAGGGTGTTGGGGGACTGGGTTAAAAATAAAGGGGTTAAGTATAAATTGGTAGTTACAAAATAGTCGTGGGGATATAAAGCACAGCATAGGAAATATAGTCAATAATATTGTCATAACTATATATGGTGCCTGATGGGTACTGGAAATACCAGGGAGAACACTTTGTAAAGTATATGATTGTCTAACCATGACGCTGTACACGTGAAACCAACACAAAATAATACTGGAAGTAAACTGTAGTTGAAAAATAAAAAATATTTTAAAAGATTCTACTATCTTATAGATAATTAAGTTAGGAGTATTACTGATGGTGTTTACTGTGGCAGGAATCCTATATTTTAGAGTTTCCAAGTCCTTCGGGATATAAACCCACAGACCCCAGTGTAGGAGGACATGCACCGTGTGCTTGGCCATCTCCAAATCATAGATACTTACCGTGGCTGTGTTGTAGTGAATCCACGATCATCAGCGGAGGATCCTATTGGCAACTGTGGTCCACGAAGGGTCCAGGAGCCAAAAAAAGTAGCTGGAGGAGAAAAATTATCCCATTCCGACACACAACCCTACAGGCAGGGAATTTGCCCTAAGGATATATTCAATGAGATGAGATTAGAAAAAGCTGGGGTCCAGTGTCATTAACTGAAAAGGATAGAAATGAAAGAAACAATGTGTGTAGTTTGACGTGCAGAGAATGAAAGGGGACCCGAGGCAGTGTGAAAGGGTGGGGAGCCAATGAGGACAGAAGAGCCCAAGGGTCACAGGGCACAGGGAGGGGGCACGGATCCCCCAGAGATGACGGGGCGGTCCTGTCAACGGCCCTCCCTGGGAGAGCGGGAATGGTTCTCCAGAGAACGCAGCTCAGCTCCCCAGTGCAGATCACCGCAGGAGTAGCGAGGGCTCCCGGGGGCACTCACAAGGGAAGAAATCAAAAAAGCTTTACTCCTCAGCACGAAGAGTTGTCATTGGACATACAGAGGGATTGGCTAAAGAGAGGCATGGAAGCTCTGTCATCCCTGTCCCTGGTGCTGTTGCAAATAGTGGCCTCTTCTGAGGGACAGGCCTTGCCTGACTCTGAAGGCCAGTGGGAAAGCACACCAGCCCCCAGCCTTGACCACCTGATAGACTCCAGGCTGCATGCCTCACATCCACCCTGCGTGGTCCACAGCCACGGGCTGGGAGGGGGACACTGTCATGACCCCCACACACAGATGGGGGTGCCGAGGGTCCCCCAGGCTCACACCCAGACTCAGGGCCAAGACAAAGGTGCAGCCACAGGGGCCTTAGTCATGTCCAAGAGTTTGAATTTTAGTCTAAGAAAAATGACAGATCAGTTGATGGCTTTGAGCAGGAACATGATACCACCATGTTTGAGAGGGAAAATTCTGTCTTCAGTGTGGAAAATGGATTGGAAGTGGATGTGCCAGGAGGCAGGGAGACCAATCACAAGACTCTGAGTAAAAGATGATGGAGGCCTAAATGAGGATCATGGTGTGGGGAAGGGAGGAAGTGGACAGTTTGGAGAGAGAAATAGGATCAGCAAGACTTGGTGAGCAACAGGTGAGTGAGATAAGGGTGAAGTTCAGTGCCTACGATGGGGCTGCCACTCTCTGGTGGGGAGCACAGGTGAGAAGCAGGTTGCCTGGGAATAGTGCCCACCAGAGAGAATGTAGGCCAGTGTTTTCTCTGAGTGAGGCCACCTCTTAGGCAGTTGGAAGTATGTCTGTTGCTAGAAAGAGAAACTTAACCCAAAGATATACGGTGATGTCATCAATATATAGATGGAGTGGATGAATTATGGACTCTTCCAGGAAAAGGTTGTGGAGTAAAGAGGGACAAGAGCTTAGGTAAGAATCTGGAGGAACCCCAATATTTAGAGGAGAACTGAGAAAAAGAGCCAGACAAAGATCTAAAAGAAACAGCCAGTGGTATAGGAGGAAAATCGGAGGGGGCAGGGGGGCGGAAGAAGTGACCAGTGATTATTAAACTCCACATCATGAAGTGCCATGAGGCAAGCCCTAATGATCCCGAGTCCCGTCTCCACTGGTACCATCCTAAGACATGGTACCATCTTCTTCCCTTGGCCTCTGCAGCGGCCTCTTAACTCATCTCCTTATCTCTGCTATCTCCTCCCTTTGGTCCATTTTCTACCCAACATCCACAGGGATCTTTGCTTAAAAACTCAGTTTGCCTTTAGCCTAAAAGGCAAACTCCATTTTGAGACCTGCCAGGCCTTGTGTGACTCGGCCCCTGACCCCTTCTCTCATTCCTGTCTTTCAGATCTCTCCCTCGCTACCCCGCAGCCACAGTGAACGCTGACTTCCTCAACCGTTCTACGTTCTTTGTGCCCAGAGGCCTTGGCACTAGCTGTTAGATCTGCCTAAAACCCTTTTTACCTCCTTTTCAAGTGGCTGGGTCTTCTCGCCCTACAGGTCCAAACTTCTCCCCCTTGTCCTCAAAGAGACCTTCTGCGACCCCTCTTTCTATATAAAATAGCCACACACACCCCAGAGTTCGCCATCATAGCATTATCTTTTTTCATTCCTTCCTAATACAAACCACCATTTGTAATGTTTGGGTTTATTCATTTTCTTTTCTTCTGTCTCTCATCACTTGATTGTGTTTGAAAAGAAAGAGCCCATACCTGCTCTGTTCTTCATTATATCCCAGCCCCTAGTACAGGATCGCGTATCATTTACGGATGAAGGAAGCTATAACAGAAAACTGAACCAACAGTTGCTTAAACTGATTAGGTTTCATTTTCTTGCATAGCAAGAAATGTAGAGATAGGTTTAGTGGCCCAATGGTTACATCTTTGTGCTGGTCTTGCTCTTTCCCTCATGATCGCAAGGCGGCTGATGTGGCTCCTGCCTTCTCATCCATGTTCAAGGCAGAAAGAAGGGGACAGGATGAAAACCTGTATCATCAGTTGCATGTCTCATTTTTTGAAGGAAAAAAAAATTTCCCAGAAGTTCCCCAGCAGATTTGCACTTACGCCTGGTGGGCCAGAAGTGGCACTTAGGGCCACATGTACCTGCAGTGGAGATGGGAAAGTGTATGTGTTTGGCTTTCCAGCCCTGCAGTGGAGAGCAGCAAAGGCAAATGATATTCAGAATGGCTTTAAGGCAGTTAATCTATAGTAATTTCTGCAATGGGACAATGAGTAGGTATGCACACCTGGAATCAAGAGTTTGGGAAGGTGAGAAGTGGGAGACAGCTGGAGAGACTGACTGAGGCCAGATAGCAGAGGATCTTAAAGGTTTCAATTCTACATTCTCACTTCTGAGCCACTTGCGAACAGATCAGGAGGACGGTGCAAGCACTCTCCCCACTGCCTCCTACTCCCCCCATGACCCCTTCTCCTTTGAAAATCCGAAACAGTGGAGCATCCTCAAGGTGAAGGAAATGGTTGGCAGTCCCCTCCACCACGACGAGGACAAAGGGGTGATTGGACAGTGTGGGTATAGCGATAGAGTAAAGAGGGACAGGAGCTAAGGAAATAAATTGTTCATTCTCATTCTAGATTCAATAATCAAAAACAGAACCACAGAGACCAGGGTTGCTCGTTGCCAATCTATGAACTTAAAAAGCAGTCTCTTTCCCTTACTCCAACCTACTCTTTTGTCAATATCTTTTCCAAAATAGATATTGATGAGAAGACTTTCTGGCCCCAGCTCACTCTTCCTTTCCCTAGGGTCTGGAGTAGAGCTTATGGCCAGTTTTTTAGATTGTTGTATAATTAAGTTGAAAAACAGTTAACAGAAGGGTACAGATATAAACAAATATCCAAACTATGCTCTGGGCTGAGTGCTCAGGATGACAGGCTTCAGGATGCAACCTCTCTGGAACTGCTTATCTAAGAATCCTCTGCCTTGTGGCAAAAGCCATCTTCCTGTGTCATTAATCCCCTTGTGCATTTTGTGAGCAACACCTAGTAAACTTTGTTCCGCACGTAGCACAACACAATACCACCCTCTCCTGCTCCTGAGAGTGTTCAAGGATCATCAGGTGATTGTGTGTATAAACACCCTGGCACACTTCACTGAGTTCTGGGAGTTGTCACCACTTGTTTAAGGAAGACCTCCCTCATTTACATTTGGCTTCTCCACTCGTGAGTAATGTGCCTTTGATCTTTGAGCCCAGTAATTAAAGCTTCACAGCATGCCCCATTGATGGGTATTTAGTTGGTTGAATGCCATGGATTTTGCTTTTGAATCCATATGCTTGACTAGCTCTAGATTTTTTTTCTTTAGAAATATTTTGTTTCTATAACAACCATCACTCTAGGAATTTGGGGACAGACCCGAGCAATATCCAGAAATTCATAATCAAGAATCAATTCATGTCAGATAGGAACACCAGAGTGGGCCAAAGGTGCGGCAGACATTGGAGTGGGCTGTGTAAAGCTCTCATAATCAGACTTGAGGTAGAACTTGGATCATTTTCCCTGGCAATGGATTAATTAGGCTTTCATCGAAAAGTCTTTTTATGAGCAGGCTCAAACCCCAGCCTCTTCTCATATCATGCCTCACCCTCCCTCCTGGGTTCCTTATCCTCCAGTAGCAAGAGAATAAGGCTGTTTCCCTAAGGCACTCCCCACCTCCCTGCCAAGCCTTTGCTCACACTGCTTCAACACCTAGAATCTCCTCGAGCCTGCCTATCCCTCCTCTACCCATCCCTCAAGTCCCAACCGAAGAGTCCTTGAATTCTTCCTTGGTCCCTCCAGTTATACCCCCCTTCCTCTGTAATTTATGGTCCCTCCACCAGCCCCATATGATAAGGCTATGTGCACAGTAGATGCTCGGTCTTACTAATATAGATTAGTTTTAAAACTTACTAATTTAAAAAAATAAGAGATATTCATAGCTCACAATACTGAACATTCACCATGTCTTGGGCACTAGGCAAACTCATTCCATGAACTACCTTATTTATTGGACACAACACCCCTATGAGGCAGCCACTGTCCTCTCTACCCCATTTACAGATGAACTGGAGCAGCACACACAGGTTCATTAACATGCTCCTGGCTACACAGATGGTACATGACCAAGCCAGAATTTGAACTCAGACAGTTTAGCTCCAGGACCAAATACAACTAAACACTTAGTGCAGTATCTGGTTTCTTTGTCTGGCAAGAAAGGAAATGAGGCAGAATGTGACTTGACAAGTGAGCGCCCTGGGTGGATGCTCCCTCCTCCCTGTATAATTTATTTTGAA